CCCTTTAATACAGTTCCTCATGTTGTGGTGACCCCAATTTCATTGTTGCAAATTGAACATAATTAAAGCATAGTGATTAATCACAAAAACAATATGTAATTATATATGTGTTTTCCGATGGTCTTAGGCGACCCCTGTGAAAGGGTCGTTTGACCCCCAAAGAGGTCGTGACCCACAGGTTGAGAACCGCTGGTCTAGAGCAACATTTCCTCAGGAATACATGTTCATACAGTGAGATGACACAGTGCATGGACTTAAACAGGTGTGACTGGCATCCAGGGGAGAAGGCATGTGAGAGCAATCATAGATACAGAGAACATTGTGATAGTTGCCAGATTTTTAGGGGGAGGGGTAGGAAGACTTGGTAAAAAAGGTGAAGGGATTAAGAAGTACAAATTGGCCCTAACCGGTTTGGCTCAGTGGATAGAGCGTCGGCCTGCAGACTGAATAGACCCAGGTTTGATTCTGGTCAAGGGCATGTACCTTGGTTGTGGGCACATCCCCAGTGGGGGGTGTGCAGGAGGCAGCTGATCAATGTTTCTCTCTCACTGATGTTTCTGACTCTCTCCCTTCCTCTCTGTAAAAAATCAATAAAATATATTTTTTTAAAAAGAATTACAAATTGGTAGTTACAGAATAGTCAAGGGGGTGTAAAGTACAACATAGAAAACATGATCAACATATTGTAATAACTATGTATGGTATCAGATGGCTAATAGATTGATCATGATGATCAATTCCTTAGTTACATAAATGTCTAATCACTGGTTTGTACAGACTAATATAATATCAACTATAATTAAAAATTAAAAAATTATTTTAGAAAAGGATGATAGAGGCACCCAAGGGTGGGCAGCCATGGCATCCAAGGTGACACCCCAGGTTTGTTGGCAACGCTAATCACTTCCATATGCAAGTGTCTGAAGCCCATGCGGTGCATGGCCACAGCAAGTTCAGGTCCTTTCTTGAGATTGCAAGGACTTGCCTTTCAGATCATGCCCTCTCTTAAGTTCACTTTCACCAAGTGAGATGCCGAGAGCCAGGGGAGATGTTGAGAGAAGAGTCGGTGTGAAGGTGCTTGGACTTTCTAGAGTGACCGTGGTCCCCTCCCCTGGCTCCTGGCTAGTCGACTCTGCTCTGGGGGCAGAATAGGGATGGAGAGCCCTCAAGGCAGAGGTCACAGGGGCACAGTGGGGAGGGGGTACTTTGTCTGAGACTTTTTTGTTTTTGTTTGTTAATCCTCACCCAATGATATTTTTCCATTGATTTTTAAAGAGAGTGGGAAGGAGGGGGAGAGACAGAGAGAAACATCAGTGTGAGAGAGACACATCGATCAGTTGACTCCCACATGTGCCCTGACCAGGTACATGCTCTTGACTGGAATCAAACTAGGGACCCTTCAGTCCACAGGCTGATGCTTTATCCACTGAACCAAACCAGCTAGGTCTGCCAGAGACTTTTTGAAGCTTGCATGTAGAACCCAGATATTCTAACTCCAAGGTTTGTGTGAGCGTGTGTGTGCGTGCGCGCACATGCACACTCACCATGACACACCTTGATCTCATTAGCTTAATCTCTATCTAATCTATATATCCAACTATTCCATACATATAGTGGATCTAAAGTCTATTACAATTCATCAGGGCAAAGAAAGGAAACCCCTCAATGCCTTCCAAGAGAATGAGCTTGAAAGTATTTGATGTGAACCATTCAGAGAAGGCACATTGTCTAGGCAGTAGTGTTCTCTAGACCTGTCATCCCACAGAAATGTAATAATAATAATAATAATAGCAGATATTTATGCGGTGTTCACTACCTGGTGCTGTTCTAAGCACTTCACAAACATTGAAAAAGTAAACAACTAAATAGAATAATTTTGCATGCTGATGAGGGATCTGGAGAGACTCAGACAGCACAATGTGAAAGGGCTGCCCCTTGCGCCAGCCCAGTGAGGAATGATGCCGCTGAGAAATAAAACATGACAGGTGAGAAGGGTCCAAAGAATATGAATAACTGGAGGACCTGTGGTACAGAGGCAAGAAATGGCAGAAGCCTGGGCAGGAGCAAGGATGGGGGCAGCACACGCTCCTACTTCATCCAGAGAAGGCTCATGTTGGCTTCTCTTTCTCCTGTGGCTTTGGGTGCTTTCCAACAGAAGAATGGAGATAAGCCAACTCGAGGTCCCCACGAATGCAAGGAATTCAAGTGTCTACCTGTGCCAGAGTCCTCAGCACTTTGCCTGTGATGACTCCGCCAAATCCACACAACAGTTTCATGAGACTTGTGCACCTAATTTCACATTGAAGGCAACAGGGCTCGGAAGTTAGGCACCTTAATGAAGGTCACGGTGCTAGAGCAGGGCCTCAGATATCTGCGATTCTCTGAGTAAGCCAGTGGCTCTTCACACCCCACATGCTGCTTTCTTCCGTGCAATTGTTTCAGCAGACTTTTTCTAGTGATTTGGGGAAGTTTCAGAATCCCATCCACGAAAATCTCAGGCATGTTCCCTTAGAGGTGGTCCTCCAGCTGCAGACATTGTAGATGCTCAGGGACAGGGTAGCGGGGATTCCTCTCCCTCCAGGGGCAAGTTCACACTCTGGTTCATTAAGGAAGCCAGCGTATGGCTCCGACAGGGCTGCCACGATGCAGAATTCTGAGGCCAGTATCAGAATCATTCTACCGATTACATCCAAGTGGGAAACACTGTGGTGGTACTGGGTGCACGTTCAGAACCAAAAATAATCATTTTAAAAACCTTCATAACTATGGGAAACCACACAGTCCGGCTCTGAGCCCTTCCTTGAAAATGAACTTGTGCTTTTTCATCCGGATGCAAGGAAGCTTGGGGAAAGGCTTTCAGGTTTGTAACTCACTTCATTCATTTCAGCTGAGAGTGTGAAAATTCCCGTTTGAAAATGGGTCAGAGATGTCCTCTGGTGAACTATGACTTGCCTCTTTAGAAGAGAAAAAATAAACCCTGAATCTGTTCATTTTTATCTAAGGGCCCTTAGCCACCACACCACCCTTGGACAGTAAGTTTAAGAGGTATTTTCAAGCAAATGTGCCAGAGACATACAGATTGCATCATGGTAGAATGCAGACTCCGCCAGAGCCTCCCAGGGAGGCCCAGGCTGAGGGGATGTCATGGCCCTTATTATAAATGTGTGCTGACCAGTTTGAGGCATCAGTGAGGACCAGGGATCACTTGGTTACCTACCAACAGTCTTCAGATCCATGTTGTTCGATCTGGCAGCCCCAACCCTGCATGGCACTGGTGACTGGCAGCCCTCGCCCATGCCCTTGTGCAGACCAAGCACCAGGGAAAGAACCCAGAGTCCATCTGGCTATGGCACCTCCAGCCTTGTAATGATTGCATGCTCCCTGTTCCTAAGCCAGCTGGTTCTAAGTTCATTTCTAGTTTCAGTTTACATTGAACAATAGTTAATGATGCCTATCAAAACCTGTCAGATACAACAAAAAATGTTCTAAGACTGATTACATACTATTAGTGTTATATTAGAAAGGCATGAAGTTTGGGAATGCATGAGCTAATCACACAACTTAAGATATACTAAAAAAATAAATAAATCACAGGAAAGTAAAATACAGAAGATAATAAAGAGAAAAGCAGAAACACATGAAATAACATCAATACAGCTGGGCCGGACATCTGCTGAAGGGAATTTTTGTTGATTTCATTTGAACTGAGAAGATGCAACAAATTCACATCCAAGGGTCGGTATCTCGCACTGAACAAATTCAAGCCAGATATTGTGCTCAGTGAATAACTCAGTAAAGGATCTATGAACAGTGAGCATAACACAGTGGGGCCTTGCCTTACGAGTTTAATTCGTTCCGAGACTGAGCTCGTTAAGGAGCTCGTTAAGGAGCTCGTTAACTCAAATTACTCTATCCACTCAATGCAAAAAATCGGCCAAGAGACAGCTGGTATCTCAAAAAACTCGTTAGTCGGGACACTCGTAAGTCAAGGCCCCACTGTAAATAAGAAAATAATCTGTATGTTAAACGAGAAGGAGAGAGAGCTGAGTCAGGTAAGGATAAGGAAGAGGTGGGCTAGGGGAGGCGATGCAGTGTTAAACAGGTGCTTCAAAGAGAAGCTGCTAAGGGCATTGGCCAAGCAGATACAAGTGAGGCCTTGACTTACGAGTGTCCCAACTAACGAGTTTTTCAAGATACGAGCCTCTCGCGGCCGATTTTTTGCTTTGAGTTGCAAGCTAAAATTCAGGTTACAAGCCAGCTTCAGATACCCCACTGCTAGTTGGCGCAGCGAACGTCACTGTGAACGCCACAACATCAGCCCAGCATCACGTGTCTCACTCGTTCACTTTTGATTTGACATACGAGTAATTTGAGTTACGAGCTCCGTCACAGAACGAATTAAACTCAAGTCAAGGCCCGACTGTATATGGTCAAAGAGTGTTCCCTACAAAGGGAACAGCAGTGCAAAGGCCCTGAGGCACACCCACTGTGCTGGAGGGTATCAAGGAGGCCAGGCTGGAGAGTGGGAGGGAGGTGGAGAGTGGGGACAGGTGAGCCTAGAAAATAAAGGCAGGTCCCACTGGCCCTTGGCAGGGACTGTGGCCCTTACACTAAATGAAATGGGCCCCTCTTGCGGATTCTGAGCAGGAGAGTAACCTGCTCTGACTCAGGATTTTGGAGGCTCACTTTGGCTTCTGTGATGAGAAGAGTGTGAGAGTGGAGTGGAGAAGTGGGGTGACTCAGCGGCACATAATACAGCCTCCGGAGGACGAGGTAAACCCCCTCACTCTCCCTCGGTCCCCAGTCTGCAAGGTGTCGCTGGGTAGAAAGAAGATGCCATCCTCAGAGTTCTCTGCCTGGGAATATCTTCTGACTTCGTGTCAGACACAAAGCAAAGTCCTCCGTGACATGGCAGGATGGCTCACGGGGCCAACAGGACAAAGAAGTTGCAGGGACCTGCCTCAGGGGCTGGGAGATGACTGATTCCCATCCCCCACCCCATGGCTCTGCGACACTGGTTAGTGAACTCTCCAGCAGAGTAGCCACATTCCCTCTGCTTCCTGTTTCCTGGACCCAGACAATGGGCCTGACCAATCACTGCTTGCAACGCTGCTTCTACAGAATCATGTTTTAACCCCCTTGAGCCCCATATACTCCAGAGTGAGCCGCCCATGCCGCTGCCCAGCCAGGACTCCCCTGTGCAGTCCTGAAGGGGCTGGAGCTGCCGACACAGCAGGTGTGCAGGAACCTGGGGCTCCAGGTGGTAGAGCTCAGGCTGGTCCTGGTGGGGACAGTTGGGGCGATGCCATCAAGAAAGAGGGAATCAACTCTGCCCAGATCCCAGACAAGTTGCCTAAGAAGACTCCAAAGACAGTGGGCAAGAGCCGTGGGCCCGGGGGCAGCTGTGAGTTCTGTGGGAAACGTTTCACCGACAGCAGCAGCCTGACTGTGCACCGGCGCTCACACACCGGGGAGCGGCCCTATACCTGCGACCTCTGCTCCTTTGCCTGTGCCCAGGGGAGCAAGCTTAGCCGCCACCGCCGCATACATGGTCTGGGGCCCGGCGGTGCCCGCTTTGAGTGCCCCCACTGCCATGTGCCCTTCCGCCTGCGGGCCACCCTGGACAAACACCTGTGGCAGAAGCACCCCCAAGCAGGCCGGGAGGCCTTCGTGGCAGGAATGCCCTTCCCCCCTGCTGTCCCTGGTACCACTGCTCATGTACCTGTTGATCATGTCCTGCTGTGAATAAATCCTCCCTCCCTCCCTCCCTCCCTCCCATGGACTGTCCATCTACTGGACGGAATCTGAGGCCCCAGAGACTCCGCTGCTGGGCCCGTCAGAGGTGGCTGCAGCCAGGTCAGCAGTGGTGGGGCAGCAAGTGGAGGCCCAGGGCTCCGGGGCGAACAGCCTCCCCCTGCGGAGCCCCACCTGCGCTGTGTGCATGAAGACCCTCAGCTCCTTCAGCAACTTCAAGGTGCACATGCACCTGCACACGGGCGAGCGGCCTTACGCCTGTGACCAGTGTTCTTATGCCTGTGCCCACAGCAGCAAGCTCAACCGCCACAAGAAGACCCACCACGGGCAGCTGCAGCCTCAGAGCCTCTACACGGCCAAGGCCAGTCAGGAACAGGCCTCAGCTGCGCCTCCATATACTCTTAATATTGGGGCTGAGAATGGCACCGAATCTAACAGTTATTAAGTGAAATATTTGACTTCCCACCATGCACTGAATTTCCAAGTGGCTGACCATAGGCTACACTGAGAACTCTGATGATCTGACCTCGGATTTCGAGAGAATGGCTGCATAAAGTGACTTTAGCACCAAATTTCCTGGAAGCTCTGTCAGTTGATCTAATATAAATAAGTCCTTGTAGGTCACTGATTTTTTTGATGAGCTTGACAAGATACAAGCCCCAGTGGAAAACGAAATCCCAAGCAGCCACAGCCAGGCCGGGGCACGCGGCAGCCTCTGCTGTCCATCTTCACTGGACACTAAAGGTCCCAGGCACAGGCAGCAGGACCCTGGAAAGAAAGCTGCTTTCTTTCTTTTTTGTTTGTTTGTTTCTGTTTGTTTGTTTTAACCATGTAAAAAATGAGAAATATTTATTTCTTTATACTTGCTTATATTCCAATATTTAAGCTAAAAATTCTAGCTGCTTTCCTATTTATTTATTTATTGTTTAAAGTATTACAAATAGTAGTACATATGTCTCCTTTTTTTCCCAATTGACCTTATATTCAATGTTCACCTCTCGCTGTGAGACGCCTGCTTCCCGCACCGCTGTCTCCAGGCTGTGAGGGTCTCACTCCCTCCTTCCACTCTTGGAAAACAGGAGGAAGGGGAGCGGGAAGGAGGAGGAGCAGAGCAACACAGGAGTCCCCTCCCTGGGGCTACCATATTTGAGCTCCCCCTCACCACGTGCCTACTGGGGTGCTGTATATCCCTTTTCTTACTTCATGCCCAAAGCACACATTTTACAGGCACCTAAAGAACAAAGGGGTGAATACCTCCCCAAGTCCCACAGCCAGGCAGTGGCACCCAGGTCCCTCGGACTCCCTTTGACACAGATGCAGTGGAGGTGCCTGGGGTGACCTGCCAGGAGCCAAGTCCCAGACCAAACCACCAGGGGCCCTGAGACTCAGAGCCTGTTCTCTGTGTGCCAGTGCCCACCTCTGGGTGACAGCCAGGGAGGCACCCCCCTGCCCACCAAAACAAAGCCCAGAAACTGCACAGATCTGAAGGTCCCTTCAGCACACAGTGGGTCCAATGGGATGGGGTCAGGCCAATCTGGATCCAGCTCAGCCCTTTCCCTGCAGTGGGGTTTCAGGGGAGCATCCTACTTACTGCCTTTAAAAATGGGGCTGAGAAGACCTGCCTTGCGGGGCTGTGGGCAGATAGAAGGTTCCAGAGCTAGGAACCTGAAGTGGAGCCCTGGCCAACACCAGAAAGAGAAGGCCCAGCATGCCTTTCTTTCCACCTCACCTGCATGTGAGATGTTTTTTAAAAAGAAAGTCATAGCAACATTTTCTTTTGTTACTAACCTGCCAGGGTTTTTAAGGACAAAAATGGCTCACACAGAGGCATTGGGAAAAGTGAGTGGCCTGGTTTTACTTTATATTTATGAAACTAGGAAACAAAACAGCTTTTTCTCAAAGCCTGCACTCAATCCAGTAGAAAGAAAGGGGGTGGGGGGGAGGGAAGGAGGATCAGGCTTTGCAGTTGAGAAGTCAAAAGAGATCTGTGATGAGCTGAGCCCGTAGAAAACTAAAGAAAAGGAATTACACGTCTTCATTTGCCATGGAGAACAGCACTCACTGCCGTGGCCTAAATTACCCAGAGACTTGAATGGGAAACCAACTCTCCAGCTCATCTCAGAGCCCGGGAACAGAGCCATGTCCCCTCCCACCCATGAATGGCTGCTTGGGTGCCACCCATGATTCTAACAACGAGAAATGATCATGTGTATGAAGAGTAATTACCAAAGGCCCAGGGCAAGGAGTGTGGGCAGGTGAACAGCCCCAACCGAGGGCCAGAGGAAACAACTGAGCTGGGTGAGCAGGCTGGCCAGGGGGACGCACGGGGATGGCTCTTGGGGGAAGCAGGTGGCTGCTGCATCCATCTCACTGAAACTGCTCCACGTTTGCATCAGGAAACACTGGGGTCATTTTTTAAAGCCAAAATCATCTGACTAGTCAGCTTTGATGGAAGCCCCTCCTTCCGCCAGGCACAGAGTCACTCAAGACCCTGGATTTCATGTGTGGTCACTCATAGCTTCAAACAGCCAGTAACTCCAGAGGGTTAAGTCTTTCCCTCAGATCTAAAACTAAAGGACTTTGTGAAACGGATGGCATGTGCTGTGTGGGGAAGTGAGAAATCCATTTCTGAACGCAGTGAAAGAGGACACTCTGGGGCCTGGGAGGCCCCGGGCGAGCTGTGGGGAACATCCCCACAATCTGCAGTGGCCAGTGAACATTCCCACAATTCCTCGTGGCTGCCACCCCAAGCAGCCTGCACAAGTGAACCCTCTGAAAGCCACAGGGGTTCAAGGAGGCAGTCGTGTCTGCATAAAATCCTGAAATATCTGAAAGCCTTTGTAAATAATTGTGTGAATTTAAAAGGAAAGAAATATTCTATCTTCTGTAAAAACCTTGATTGAGGTACATGGCCAAGAGTGAGGACCTCTGGTTTAAAGCCATATTTCTCCTCCTGCACCTCTCGGTTGCAACCCAGAGGCAGCTGGGAGCCAGATGTGACTGTAGGTGGCATCAGTAGGGGTCCTGTGGCTTTCAGAAGACACCTAGGGCCCTGAAGAGAGGGTAGAGAGAGTCAACCTCCAGGAGACTTCTTATCAGAGCAGTTGGATGGGACACACCCCTCACTCAGACCCCGGAGGTAGCTTCAGGTTTATGGTGGCCTCATCTTGGGGGCACAGATAAAGTCAGACTTGAGAACAGTAGTGCTCATCACAGGCTGGACCCCAGCAAGCGGGGCCACCAAAAAGAAAAACCTGACATCTTCTATGTCATTCAATGCATTTGAGTTGTCAACATGGGAAGAATCAGAGGGTCTGTCCCTTGAGCAGTTTAAAATTGTACATGGGCCCTGGCTGTTGTGGCTCAGTTGGTTGGAGCATTATCCTGTGCACCAAAGGGTAGCGGGTTCAATTCCCAGTTAGGGCACAATTCCTAGTCAAGGCCTGGGTTGCAGATTTGACTCCTGTTCGGGCAATGGACAGGAGGCAACCAATTGATCTTTCTCTCTCTCTCTCTCTCTCTCTCTCTCTCTCTCTCTCTCTCTCTCTCTCTCCTTCCTCTCTCTAAAATCAATAAAAATCATATCCTTGGACCAGGAAAAAATAAAATAAAGCTGTAAAATTACATATGGGTGGTGGCTGCATCCCAAGGGGGTCTGACCAGTCCTGAGGTGCATGGAGTCAGGGCGGGTGGAGAGAAGCATGGCCTGGGTTATGGGTACTGCAGTGAGGGCCAGAGGATCACCAGCCAAAGAGAAAGAAGAAAGAAAGAAAGAAAGAAAGAAAGAGCCAAAGGCACCAAGCACATTGCTCTCTGGCTCATCAGTGTGCACTGCCACTGGCCACTTGTCCCTAAGTCCCATGGGCCACCCCGTTTTGGTCTGCAGAGGGTCCACACCTGGGCAGAAAGGAGTTAGTAAAGCAGGACCGAGGCTGCTCTGCTTGGAAGGCTGCTTAGCAAGGTTGGCCCGTGGCTGGCATCTGGAACTGGGTTTCTCAGGAGAGTTCCAACCATTCCCTGAACTAATAGAGCAGCTCACAGTGCCTGAACTGTGTGTAAGCAACATGGCTTATGGGAGCTTTCCTCCTGGGGGGCTGGGATTGACACCCCACCCCTCCTGGTCATTGACAGAAGACACCCACCCCTCATAGTCATTGACAGAAGACACCCACCCCTTCGGGTCCAGGACAGAAGATACCCAACCCCTTCTGATCCAGGACAAAGGACACCCACCCCTCCAGGTAATTGACAGGACAGCCACCCCTCATGGTCATTGACAAAGGACACCCACCACTCATGGTCCAGGACAGAAGACATTCAACCCCTTCTGATCCAGGACAGAGGACACGCAGCACCAAAGGTTGCTTCCCCTTTGAAGCCTGTATTTAGACTCTGACCTCTTAGACCCACTCAACCCCTCTTGCAAGCAGCCCCAACGGCACCTGCTCTCCCAGGCCTCAGAAGCCCTTCCCACCCACACAGAGCTTCAAGGTTCCTTGTGGAGTATCTAGAGGATGTCCACGATAAAACTGCAGATTCCAGGTAAGTACCAACCACCTTCACAACACTGGTCCCAAGTTGCTGGCCTGTGCCTCTCCACACCCAACTATACTGCTTCCTCTGGCCATGCACTCAGTGGGGCTCCAGGTTTGCACCAGATATGTGGACATGGTGAGGGGCTCCACCCCTCCCCAGCTACAGGCTCACAGCATACATGTTAACACCATAGCCCAGAATATTCATCCCAGAGCATGTTTGGCATATAGTAATAGGAGGGAATTGTCTCCAGGAGGTTCTGGCAGAAATTCTAGAAGGGACTTTGAGTCTACAGCTGGGGTGACTGGCTGGCACTCCAGGTAGAGGCAAGGTGGGGAGGGGTGCCAGCCATGTTCTGGGATGATCCTAAAAGGGTTTTTAATTCTATGAATTGTCTCATGGGGATAAGGAAAGGACCCCATCTAAGGGAGCCCTAGACTTGACATGGCTGCACTGGCTAAGCTAATTGTGGGAAAAGGAACAATAATGAAATAAAAAGGGTTGAATTACATTTCTCCTCCACATTATGCAGACCAGAGCTTCCAGCCCCAACTAATTGGTGAGGTCCGAGAGGAAGCCATGACCCCCACAGCCATGACCCCCCCCCCAAAAAAAGGGAATGTATTTTAGACTCTGAATTGCTCCAGAATTGCTCTCCACTGGACTATCCAGAATATTATAAATCTGTGTATATATATTTGGGCTTATACATGTATACAATCTGGAAAACTATTCCAGAAACCAGGATCTTCCAAATGCTTTACATAGATTAAAGGGGAAAGAAACTTTCATCATCTAGAAACGCCACAAGGCCCTCAGATGAGCCAGGAAGCAGATTGGAGCTGCCCAGGTGCCCTCCCTCATCTGTGGACATTCATATCCAGAACACGGCTGGCACCTCCCCACCTT